GATAAGTGTACAACGTCAGGAATGTGATTGCATCCATAACAATATTACGGCATACATGTTCATTGAAATTTTGTATTCCAGTTATTCTAGTTGCCTTGAGAAGTGAGCCGTCTAACCCATAAGTCCATCCCTGCAATTGGGTTTTGCATGCGTAAGTAATTTAGTTACTTAAGTAGATGCTTGGACTAATGTACATGTAGCAAGCAATTAGCAATGTCATAAGTAAACTCACATGATAAGGGCACACAAAGCAAGACTTGCGGCCGCTTCCATATGCAAGAAGTGAGGCATGATGTCGACATACGTTGTGGAAAGCTTGAAGCTTGCCATCACCATCTCGGCACACAACAAACTCTGCGTTTCCCAATCTGCTAGTTAAGTAACTAAATCAAAACCCCAAAACCAAAAACCACAAAAACCAAACAGAGCTTAACTAATTACAAGTCAAAAGCTTCCACCTGCAAGTGAAAAACTCCCCTGGATTTTTTATCTGTTCAGTGTATCCTGAAAATCAACAACCATTCAAAAGCTCATAACTATTTTCTTCAATCATTTTCCTGCCGTTTTTCTCAGCGACCAAACAGAGATAACAAGTAAATTAAATAGAAGCTGACCTGCGGCCTGCCATCCACGGTAGAAGAGGGTGTCGAGTTCGAGAGAGTAAAAAGAAGGATCGGTGTACCATGAGCAGGGTGGAGTTACGGCTCGCTCTATGGGGATTGTTGGGTCGAATTGACCCACCAGATTTGGAGCTCCGATTGATGACACTTGAGGGTTGTGGAGAGAAGAGGCCTTGAAGTTGAAGACTCTTCTTGGGTTTGGAAGAAGGTAAGGGCTTTTGGGTCGAAGAGGTTTGGGTTGGAGAGTTGCCACATTCATCACAGTCATCGCCATCTCCATGGCTTCCAAAGCTCCGCGAGCTCAGCCAGGTTCTTCGGTGGTTGTGCTTTGAGTTATTTTATTTTGAATGTGTCCCAAGGTACCCATTTTGGTCGTTTGAAAAAGGACAAACATTTGTTCCCTTTAGTTTCGATTAGATATTGTTTTCAATTGTTTCTATGGTTAATAATCGATTGTAATTAAGAAATAAAGTGTAACATGAGGTAATCAATTATCTTTTAGGGCTTTTTTGAAACCGTTTCTTTAGGAAGTATTTCTATTCATAAGTACTTTTAAAAGGTACACATAAGTCCAGTTTGGAATTGCTGTCACTTTTAAAAAAAGTTGCTTCTGCTGTGTTTTGAAAATAATTAACTGTAAAGTAAAGCAGCTCCATGTTTGGTAAACAATATTTTTAAAGTGCTGTTAGTACAAAAAGTAGTGTCAAAACTGTTTGGTAAATTTTAATATAAAATTGTTGTAACTGTGAATTATGACTAAAATAAATATAATGTTAAAAGTGTTATGTACTAATCATGTGGTGGTAGTGGTAGTGATGGAGTGGAGGTAATGGGGGTGATGAAGGTGGAGTTGGTGGTTGTGGTAGTGGTGGTGATGGTGGCGGGGATGGCGATTATGGAGGTGGTGGTGGTGGTGGTAGTGGCAGCATGGTGGTGGTTGTGGTGTTGGTTGTGGAGGTGGTAGTGGATATGGAGATTTTGGAGGAGGTGGTTGTGGTGGTGGTGGTGGTGGAGGTAGTGAATGTGGTGGTGCAAGTGGTGGAGTTGGATGTGAAAGTGGAGGTGGTGTCATTTTTTAAAATGAATTATGGCGGGAATTAAAAAAATTCATAAAAAAGTTCATCTATGCTTATTTTGAAAGCAGCTTTGAAAAACAACCCAGAGCCTACTTTTAAAAGCTGCTGTCAAAAAGCCACTGCTTTTAAAATAATCGGGATATTTTATTTTTACTAAACACCTTAAACTGCTTAACTTTAAAGTGAAACAGGTTTTTGGCAAAAAAAAGCAATCCCAAACGGGGCCATAGTTCATAGAAATGAGAAACCTATCCTTATAATTAATAGAAAATTAGATGGAAGTCTAAAAACTTGAGTTATTTTATTTTGAATGTGTGTCCCAAGGTACCCATTTGGTCGTTTGAAAAAGGACAAACATTTGTTCCCTTTAGTTTCGATTAGATATTGTTTTCAATTGTTTCTACGGTTAATAATCGATTGTAATTAAGTGCTAAATGAAAACATTAAGAAATAAAGTGTAACATGAGGTAATCAATTATCTTTTAGGCCTTTTTGGGAATTGTTTCTTTAGGAAGTATTTTTGTTCATAAACACTTTTAAGAGGCACATAGTCTAGTTAGTATGAAATTACATGCAATTTTATCTTTTCCAAGATTAAATTCATTATTATATAAATAAATAAATAAATGCAACATGAACTATAGCAGAGGAGGCCTTATATCTAACCAAGTCTTTGATTTGACCTATTTTTGAAGTTTACACAAGCAAGTGGTAAATTTGAGACATTACTGGATAATTCAACTCAAACAAGTTGAATAAGTTCTTCATTTTGATAGTTTTGTTATAGGCATAATTTCATGTACATAAGGGTACAAGTTCGTCATATACATATCATGATATATAGTACACCCACAAGGTTTTTATACAGTAGGCATTGATTTTGAGGGTATAATTCAAACTATGCAGTGGGGTAAGAGGCTTCCATAGCAATGCCACAAAGACCTTCTTTTGCCTCAACACCTCTTTGCATTCTTATGTATCCTTTTTCACCCCACTCTGTGCCCCATGAGTTCTTCACCAACCAATACTTGGTACCATCATCACTGACTCCGTATCCAACAGCGGTAACACCATGATCAAGACTTGTTCCACAAGCTCCTGTAAAGACACCACTTGAATAGAATTGAAAATCAGAACCTCCGGCGTCAATGGCAACTGAAACAGGTTGATTAGCAACAGCCTTAAGAAGGGCAGCTTCACTGTTTGCAGGCACATCTTCGTGGCCAGTTATCTTGGCAGCATGGCTAGCCTCCTTCTTGGTGTTGCAAGTACCATCAACACCTGTGTAGGGGTAATTTGTCTCCGTACTAAGCCCATGATTTTGATTGATGAATTGAAATGCATCATCCATCAAGCCACCCTCACAACCTTGGTCTACACCTTTGGTGTCACAATCAACCAACTCTTGCTCAGATAAAGAGATTAGGTTACCAGTTGAAAGCTTAGTAATTCCTTCCATGGCTGCCACTGCTGAAAAAGCCCAACAACATCCTACATTTTTTTTATTGCAATTAAAAACCAATTAGATTAATAACAACATGATTGAATTAATTTTCAGAAGGAGAGTAGTGTTTGAGATATCTAGATTAAAATTACCACATTGGCCTTGGTCTTTGATAGGCGTCACAGCTCCTTTTGTTCTCCAATCTACTGTAGGTGGGGCTGTAACATTTTCATATTTGAAAGTAGTTGTCTTTGTGGAGCATTCATGCCCCAAGAATCCATTTCTAGAGGCTTTGAATTCTTCATTTGTAAGGTCTGCAAATTGATTGACACTCAATTTATAAGGTTTGTTTGCATCGCTATTTGATGATTCTATGAATGCCACATTTTCCTTGAATATCTTGAAACGCATCTCTTTCTCTTGAACGCCGGTAAATACACGTCCATAGCGAGTCATCCATTGCTCGTATTTTCCATACATTGATGCATCTTGGAGATTGCGAGAAGTGGCTTGAGAAGACCAAGCCCCCAACATGAAGATCAAGGCCAAACAGATACATTTGCAGTAGTACTGGTTAATAAACTCCATGGTAGTTAACACTGGAAGCAGCTAGAGTTGATATAAGTAAATGAATTGAAGAGTTGGTATGCACTGAAATGGTACACTTCTTCACAGTTAATATAGAGAATAGATCGATGGCCTTGCTATCATTGTGCCCCAAAAGTTGATTTGCAATCTTCGTGCCCAAGCAAATGTTCTGATGTGAATCCGTCTCATATTACTATTAATTCATTTTGACGTTACGATAATTTACTGGAAAACCATTTGTCCTCGTGTGATTATGGACCCTAAATTTTATGGGTCAAATCAAAACACATATTTTCTTCATACAAAATGCTACTACTTTGTTTTATATGCAGAATGTATTGAACCGTAGTTCCAAACCTCACGGACCTTTTTAAAATTATCTGTCTCGTAGTTTGGTAACGCTTGCAAAATTTGGGAATTATTCTTCTGCTTTTGTGTTGGCTATAGTTTTTTCTTCTTCTTGATTTGACTATGACTAGGTTCAAAAAAAAAAAAAAAAAAGGTTAGTAGAAAAAGTTGAGCTCTTCTTAAAGCCCCTTTGTAAATGTCATACATCAAGATTGTTTAAGACAAAATTACTAGTTAGTTCTCCCATAGAAACCATTACTTTTTTCTTTTCTTTTTATTTTTCATAATTTAGAAAAAGAAAGTTACTGGAGAAACTTAAATGGGTACTAACCCTTGAACGGAAGAAGAGGAACGATGCAAAATAACTATCCATCTCTTATCAATTTGTGGCTTTCTTTGAGCATTTCTCTTAATGTTTTTAGCTATCACGAATAACATGAATAAGCCAATTGGTTCTTCCCGGCAACATTGTGGCAGAACAGCCCAGAGATAACAGTAAAAACCTTCTCAATTTTATTGACAAAGAAAAAAAGTTCAATAATCTTCTCAATTTTCTTGACAAAGAAAAAACATTCTCACTACACGCCAAAATAGAGCTAGTAGTTATTGATCAAAGACCTTTTTTCTTGACCGAATTTTCTCTCACTGGGAGTTTTCATGGCAAAGTTTTAACGAGACCACATAGATGCATTCCTGTTTCATGACTATTTGTAATCTTGATTTTATTGAATAAAGCTCTTTTTACAATCCAAAAAAAAAAAGGACCTTTTTTTTGGTCGAAGACCAATTAACAAAGAGCAAAAAGATCAATTTTCTTCACTTCGAAGTAAAATCAGACATAGTGATTTAAACTCAACCAAATTTAAGAACAAAAACCATAAATCATAGCCCAGAGAAAGGCCACTCCGTCAGAGACTTGCATTCCAAATGAGCTCTTTGTCAACAATGAAGTAGGTACTAGCACCTTGTTTCTTACGATTCACTTCTTTTTTTCTTGCGTATATATATATCTGTTTCTTCCATGGATTAGTCATTATTGACTGGAAAGCATTTTTTGTACTTATAATGATTCCAAGCAAGTGGTTAAATTTAGGCATAGTTGGATACTTCAGCTTCAGCTAAAGAAATTGGATAAGTTCTTCATTTTGGTATTTATAGAACTTGCTACATAGTTTTGTTAAGATAACTTCATCATGTACATATATATAAATATACCTAACAATATACATATAGTAGGCTGTAGGCATTGATTTTGATGGTAATCCAAAGGGTAAACTGCCGAATACCCCTTTGAACTATATCAACTGTCGAAATTTCCACTCTAAATTATTTTGTCAACCAATTTAGCCCTCATATTATTTTAAATGGTCAATTTAGCTCCTGCTGTTAGTTTTCATGCAATTTCAGCCAATTTTCTCTCTAAATGTCACATGTTAGCTAGGCACGTGATTCACTGTTCAATTAAAATTTAATTTCTTTAAGTTTAAAATAATTAAATTGTTAAAACTACAAAACTTAAAAAGAAAAAAAAAAGGGAAGGCAATCAATGTCTTCCCCAGCCCCTTCCTCCCAAGACTCTCTGTCTGCAATCCCACATCCACAAGGGTTTTCGAGTGAATGCCAATGATTGGTCCTTGTAAATAAACATATAATCAGAATCAAGATATGTTTTCATCTTCATCGACCCCTAATTGTTCTTGATTGGGTCAATGAGATTTAGGGATTGCATCAAGTTATCAACTCCTTCCCAAAATACCGGGTCTGTGTGGCATATTTCTATGAGGTGTGAAGATTGCCCGTTTATTTATTCACTCGTCCTTTCCTCTTCTTCCTTCTTGTATTGTGTTTTACACACGTTCCTTCAATATTAGCATTCTCGTGGCTGTTATTAATCATTCGCTGCTAATCTCCCTCCAAATGCTTTTGTTGCTTGAACAAACAAATTTTGATACAGCAATGGAGCCTCTGGATATTTGTAAAGAGAGGACAACTAGAGCTAATAAATTTGAAAGAGCTGGAGTAGACGGGGAGAGAAGAAAGAAAAGAGAAAGAGAGGAAGAAGACGGAAAAAGAGAAAGAACAAACAAAGAGAAAGAGAGAAGAAATCATGATTTTACATTTTCTTTATTATTTTTGGGTATTGTTCTTGTAAAATGAGAAACCTATCCTTATAATTAACAGAAAATTGGATGGAAATCTAAAAACTTGAGTTATTTTTTTTTTTTTTTTTTGGTTTGAACCACGAGGTGGTCCTGGATGGGCCCCAACTATGGGTGGCACCTTTAAGCCTTAACCACAACCCAGACTAATCCCCGCTCACACCGGGTCGGCCCGTAAGGGGTAAAGTGCTGGCCAAAGTGGTGACTCCATACGAGAGCAGGGATCGAACCCCTGACCTTCTCTTAAGGAATGAGAGTGCCGAACCACTCACACCAACCACCTTGGTTATTTTATTTTGAATGTGTGTTCCAAGGTACCCATTTGGTCATTTGTTCCCTTTAGTTTCGATTAGATATTGTTTTCAATTGTTTCTATGGTTAATAATCGATTGTAATTAAGTGCTAAATGAAAACATTAAGAAATAAAGTGTAACATGAGGTAATCAATTATCTTTTAGGGTTTTTTTGGAATTGTTTCTTTAGGAAGTATTTCTGTTCATAAACACTTTTAAGAGGCACATAGTCCAGTTAGTATGAAATTAAATGCAACTTTATCTTTTCCGAGATTAAATTCATTATTATATAAATAAATAAATAAATAAATGCAACATGAACTATAGTAGAGGAGGCCTTTTATCTAACTATGTCTTTGATTTGGTCTATTTTTGAAGTTTACACAAGCATGTGGTAAATTTGAGACATTACTGGATAATTCAACTCAAACAAGTTGAATAAGTTCTTCATTTTGGTAATTATAACACTTCAGTTTTGTTACAGGCATAATTTCATGTACGTAAGGGTACAAGTTCATCATATACATATCATGATATATAGTACACCCACAAGGTTTTTATACAGTAGGCATTGATTTTGAGGGTATAATTCAAACTATGCAGTGGGGTAAGAGGCTTCCATAGCAATGCCACAAAGACCTTCTTTTGCCTCAACACCTCTTTGCATTCTTATGTATCCTTTTTCACCCCACTCTGTGCCCCATGAGTTCTTCACCAACCAATACTTGGTACCATCATCACTGACTCCGTATCCAACAGCGGTGACACCATGATCAAGACTTGTTCCACAAGCTCCTGTAAAGACACCACTTGAATAGAATTGAAAATCAGAACCTCCGGCGTCAATGGCAACTGAAATAGGTTGATTAGCAACAGCCTTAAGAAGGGCAGCTTCACTGTTTGCAGGCACATCTTCGTGGCCAGTTATCTTGGCAGCATGGCTAGCCTCCTTCTTGGTGTTGCAAGTACCATCAACACCTGTGTAGGGGTAATTTGTCTCCGTACTAAGCCCATGATTTTGATTGATGAATTGAAATGCATCATCCATCAAGCCACCCTCACAACCTTGGTCTACACCTTTGGTGTCACAATCAACCAACTCTTGCTCAGATAAAGAGATTAGGTTACCAGTTGTAAGCTTAGTAATTCCTTCCATGGCTGCCACTGCTGAAAAAGCCCAACAACATCCTACATTTTTTTTTATTGCAATTAAAAACCAATTAGATTAATAACAACATGATTGAATTAATTTTCAAAAGGAGAGTAGTGTTTGAGATATCTAGATGAAAATTACCACATTGGCCTTGGTCTTTGATAGGCGTCACAGCTCCTTTTGTTCTCCAATCTACTGTAGGTGGGGCTGTAACATTTTCATATTTGAAAGTAGTTGTCTTTGTGGAGCATTCATGCCCCAAGAATCCATTTCTAGAGGCTTTGAATTCTTCGTTTGTAAGGTCTGCAAATTGATTGACACTCAATTTATAAGGTTTGTTTGTATTGCCATTTGATGATTCTATGAATGCCACATTTTCCTTGAATATCTTGAAACGCATCTCTTTCTCTTGAATGTCCATATATACACGTTCATAGCGAGCCATCCATTGCTCGTATTTTCCATACATGGATGCATCTTGGAGATTGCGAGAAGTGGCTTGAGAAGACCAAGCCCCCAACATGAAGATCAAGGCCAAACAGATACATTTGCAGTAGTATTGGTTAATAAACTCCATGGTAGTGAACACTGGAAGCAGCTAGATTTGATATAAGTAAATGAATTGACAAGTTGGTATGCACTGAAATGGTACACTTCTTCCCAGTTAATATAGAGAATAGATCGATGGCCTTGCTATCATCGTGCCCCAAAAGTTGATTTGCAATCTTCGTGCCCAAGCAAATGTCCTGATGTGAATCCGTAAGTTGGCTCATATGACCATTAATACAATTTGATGTCACGATCATTTACTGGAAAACCATTTGTCCTCGTGTGATTATGGACCCTAAATATTTTTTTCATACCAAATGCTAATACTTTGTTTTGTATGCAGAATTTATTAAATTGTAGTGCCAAACCTCACGGACCTTTTTAAAATTATATATCTGTCTTGTAGTTTGGCAATGCTTTTGTTTTGTTTTTTTTCTTGATTTGACTGTAGAGTGTACAAATTAAGTGCCGTATAATTAGGTTAAAAAAGAAGAAGAAAGAAATGAGAAAAAGTTGAGCTGTTCTTAGGCATTTTCCGCGTCACTTAAAACCCGTTTGTAAATGTCATACATCAAGATTGTTTAAGATTGTTTTATATGCAGAATTTACTAACAATATACGTATAGTAGGCTGTAGGCTTTGATTTTGAAGGTATAATTCAACTATTCAGTGGGCTTCCATAGCAATGCCACAAAGGCCTTCCTTTGCCTCAACATTTCTTTGCATTCTTATGTATCCTTCTTCACCTCGTTCTGCCCCCACTAACCAATTCTTGATCCCATAATGACCCCAGAACCAACATCGGTAACACCATGATCGAGGCTTGTTCCACAACTCCCCCTTATAGACACCGCTTGAATAGAATTGAGAATCAGAATCTCTAGGATCAACGGAAACATAATGATTAGCAACTGCCTTAAGAAGGGTCTCTTCACTATTTGCATAGGCACATCTTGAAAGCCAGTTATTTTAGCTGCATCCTGCATGGATGGCTTCCTTGTCTCCACATAAGTTATTTTATGTAGTCATCATCGAGTCTTACTGTTGATCTAGTTGTGCCCAAACATCTACACTTGTTTTCACGTCTTCATATATACTCTTGACCTGTGCATGCCTTGATTTTATTTGATTTTGTGATTCTATCTGTAAAATCAATTTTTATGTACTCTTTTTCTTGGTTGAATTTTTCAATTTTTTTTACCATAATAAAATTTGGGTTATACTTAGTATTATGATTTGGAATGATAACAATTAAATCATAAGATATCAAATTTGTAATATTAAAAGTTAAGTATAATGAATTCTTTAGTATAGTAAAAGTTAAGTTTAGTGTAATCATCTTAGACTTATTTAAGGTACAATTCTTGAGAGATTTTAAGCTTTGTCACTGCATTAATTTCCAAGGTATATTATGAAGTTTCGAACCTAAAACTACTGTTATGCAAATTATGATCATTTTTTACATCATGTATGTTATTACCTCACCGTGATATGTGAGCGTTTCAAACTGGTTGTCTTTTCTATTTATCCTAGCTAAACCACTTGTTTGCATTAGTGTTTCAAACTGGACCATTATCATTGTGCAGCAATACTGACAGCGTCTGGTTCTTTCAAACAACGAGAGTGCTTCTTAGATCCATCCTTTTTAATGTGGCGGACATAAATACATAGTGAGTGGCTGTTAGGGGAATGCTAGCAACCTTCCCTCTAACCTTCTCCTTTGGACCTTCTCCTTTCTTTGCTTGACATGTGTCATTCTCCTTACACTTAAAACAATGTCATTAATATATTATTCAAGTTAACTTTTGTTTTCCAAGTTTACCCTTATTAAATGTATTCAATTTATCCAAAAACATTTCACAACTTTCTTACCATCTTATTAATTTTTTTTTTAAAGAACATATTTGCTTTTAAGAGGAAATGCCCTTTTTAAAAAAAATAAATTTTAAAAAAACAAACAAGGGTTTAGATAGAAAAAAAAAAAAAAAAGTCCTTTGTGTTTTTTTAAAAAAGGGGACATTTTCTCTTTTTTGAAAAAAGCAAACATTTTCTTTAAAACAATAATTGACATTTTAAAAAAAAAAAGACGGTAAAAAAGTTGTAATTTTTTTTGGGATAAATTGAATACATGTAATAAGGATAAACTTGGAAAACAAGAGTTAACTTGCATAATATATTAATGACATTGTTTTAAGTGTAAGGAGAATGACACATGTCAAGCAAAAAAGGGAGAAGGCCCAAAGGAGAAGGTTAGAGAGAAGGTTGCTAGCATTCCCCTTTCTTAAAATAGGAAATAGTTACTAGTTCGGTGGTATTTCTTTTCACTTTACTAAGAGATATTACAGGTTCAAATCCCCCTTCCCAGATAAAAACAATATCACATTAGTATAATTACTATTTTGGTAGTATTTCTTTTCACTTTGTTGAAAAATGTTGCAGGTTTGAATCCTCCTCCCCAAATAAAAACAATATCACACTCAACTTTCGATTATTGTGTAGGTCATGGCACGGTGTTCCCCCGATGTCAAGCTTTTGTTTGTGCAAGCACTGAAGCAAAGCGGAGAGATGGTTGCTGTCACTGGATATGTCACCGAAGATGCTCATGCACTACATCAGGTTTGAGAGCCTTTTTACTTCTTATTTTTTTGTTGGCACTTCCCTCCCTCCCCAAGTGATCTTGCGTTTTAATGGTTTTTGCTTGGATTTTCGGTTACTTTTGATCTTGCCTAGGCCGACATTGGTCTTGCTATGGGTATCCGAGGGACTGAAGTTGCTAAAGAGAGTTCGGATATAATTATCTTGGATGACAGTTTTGCTACGTGTGTAAAGGTTGGTTTTTGTAAGATAGATCCCAACATAATCTTGTCATATGCTTGAACTGAAAATGTTTTAATTTTGTTGTTAATTGAAAATAGTTAACGCTAATCATTATATAACATTGGAATTGATTGAAGGGAGATTCACTACCTAATATAGGAGTCCAAATTATAAAATTAAAAAAAAAACTCTATATAAATAGATTTTAGAAACACACCCAAAGTCCATTTATAAAATAAAAATTAAAAAAACTTTTAACTTCTTTTAAATTACAAAACTGCCATTAATTTCTTAAAACAAACTCAACCCCAAAACTTCATAAAAAAAAGCCCAAAACACTCAATAGGGCATCAAAGTAATTTAATAATCAAAATTAAATTCAATAGGGACAGCTGTCATTTTTTGGGTTTGTTTATATAAATTAAATAGGGTTTATTTATAGTTTTACCGGTAAGAATGGGTATATGACTAAATATCTCTTGATCAAATGGATGTAGGCTTTCAAATGGGGGCAATCTGTACATGCAAATATTATCAAGTTTATGCAATTGCAGCTTACAGTCAATGTTGTAGCACTAACTACCAATTTCATGGCGGCAGTTTTCTATGGTTGTGTCCCATTAAATGCTGTTCAGGTAATTCTCTCTCCCTCTGTGTTGCTCCCTTTCTCTCTACTTGTTACTAGAAGAATTGCAGTTGTGATTACGGATTAGGTTGTTCAATTATTAAGTCTTTAGGTGAGGATGCACCTAATTAAGGATTCTTTTCTGCTTGTGCTTTGTACAGCTTCTCTGGGTGAACCTACTCATAGTAGCTCTTGTACCACTGTCATTGGTTACTAAACCTCCAGCAGATGAACTGATGCCGGGACTCCTTGTCAAACCCGGGTAACAATATTTCTTTGATGACGGACATATCCGATTAATTTATAAATACCTAACCATGAAATTTTCATGATCCATGGTGATGACCTTCACTTTCTGCTGACATAGTTATGTTCTGTTAGTTCTTATTTTGATCAATATGCTTACTTCCAGTAGGCCCATATCTCTTGAATTTTGAGTTTGCTAGCTAGTTAAACCAAATTGTTGGCTGGCATAAATTTGATGTTCTAATGGGACAATATGTTTTACAGACAACCTCCTAAAAGATATGTAAAGTGGAAGAGACTGCTTGTTCAGGTACATGGATGTTTTCTCTTGATTTCATGTTACCCAAAAGTATTATTAGATCAATCCATGTAGTTTGCTTACATATGTTTTTCGCATTCCAGTTGTCTTCCTCATAATTTGTCATTCTAAATTTGGTTTGGAAATTTCAGGTCCTGTACCAAATTGTTGCCATTCTTATCATCAATTTTCAAGGACGGAGTTTACTGAAAAGTTATAACCGCGGTCATGCCATCAAAGTGAAGAACACAATGATATTTAATACATTTGTTGTTTGTCAAGTAAGTTAATTAGTCTTAACTCGTCAATCATAAGAAAGTAGTTTAATATGAGATTTAATTAGCTTCCCCGTTTTGTCTAGCATGTGAAATGACAACGTTGATATGGCTGTTTCAATTGAATGGTTAGTTTTGGTCTAAAGTTCGAACATGATTTTTCATTAATTAGCGCACTTTGAAACATACCTAGCTACGTGTAGTCCTCCTACTTCTCTTCCCAATCCTGGAATAAGTTCAAAGTTCGAATCGCGTTTCCCCTGTCTCTATCAAAAGAAGAAAAGAGCCACAGCCCTTCATGTGCCCTTCCAGATTGGATGAGATTATGTTACATTATGATTTCAATGAATCTGAATTTTTCAAATGACAGATTATCCATCAAATGGAAGCTCGAAAGATGGATATACTATCAAAGCCTAAGATGTGGATTACTTCAAACTATCTCTTTATGGGAATGGCCGGAACAATTCTCACAAGTCAGGTTACAAATATTTAGTTTGTTTTCTTCTTTTTTTGTTTGTTTTTGTTTTTCCTTTCTGGTCACTTGTCGTCTTGACTAATTTTGCATTTGCTGACACTTTGGTTTCTGTGTTCTTCAGTTCATCATCATTGAGTTTCTAGGGAAAGCGTTCTCCACAGTGGCGCTTAACCAGAAAGAGTGGCAGTTTTCCCTCACTCTTGGGTTTGTCGAGTAAGTTCTATGATTTTGGCATGTAGTAGAACAAGTTGAACACTCGATAATCTTCTGTTGGTCGTTGATAAAAATCTCTCTCTTGCAGAATGCTTTTTGCGATAATTTTATTCGTAAAGTACTTGACACACAGGAACTAGCAAAGCAGTTCAACTCATACAGCATTTGATGAACTAGCAAAGCAGTAAAACGCTATCATCTGCTCAACTTTCCTATAATATTCCATGTCAGTATCACGCCCCAGACCAAGGGTAGGGAAGAAATCTCATGCCGGTGCGTAAAAAAAGAAAAGGAAGCTTCACTATTATGCTCAATATAGGAGTCTAGTAGCGAAGCCAGGATTTCACATTAGAGGTGGGTCATTCACAAAATTTTAAAAATAATTAGAGGGTTCTCGTTTTATTTAGTGGCTCAAGCGTTAACCAGTTAATTAGTTTATACTACATTAACTACGCGTTTTGGCCCCACTTCATGCTACCATTTCATATCAATTAATAATATATTCATTCATTACAATCATATAATTGTTATGAATTTCAAATTTAAGGAAAGTTGTAGTGTACCAATTAAGTGCCATATAGTTAGGTTAAAAAGAGAAAGTTGGGAGAAAAAATTGAGCTCTTAAGCATTTCCCGTATCAGTTAAAGTCCAGGCAACATTGTGGCAAAACATGCCAGAGATGATAGTAAAAACCTTTTCAATTTATTGACAGAGAAAAAAAAAAAAAGGTGACATTCTCAATTTTCTTGACTAACAAAAAACATTTTTCACTACACGCCAAAAAAGAGCTAGTAGCTGTTGATCAAAGACCTAATTTTTTTTGGTCGAAGACCAATTAAGAAAATGGAAAACGATTAATTTTCTTCACTTCCAAGTAAAATCAGACATATATAGTGATTTAAACTCAACGAAAAATTGAGAACCAAAACTATAAATCATAGCCAAGAGAAAGGCTACTTCGTCAGAGACTTGCATTCCAAATTTAGCGGGTTTCTAGTGAGTGCACGAGGAACATGACATTCCTAAAGTCCAACTACGTGTTCCGGATGAAGAGATATCCTCGGAAGACGCTCGGTCAACCAGTTGGTCAAATTTTCCAAATTGGGTCAATTGGGCCCACGGGACCCACGATCTCCGTTTTCCGATTCGAAAGTTCCTAAGGGTTCCACAAGGTTTAGAATACACGTCCTGTAAGTTTGGTCCAAATCGGACGGTCAGATTGCTCACGATCATACGATCAAACAGTTATCGTTAAATGCAAACTTTAAGATATTGAATCAGAACATCCGGGGCTCCAATTCACGATCCACGAATTCCTAGACGATCCTAAGAATGTCTAGATTAACATATATTGGAATGAAGTTGATCAAACAGTCCGAACATATCAAATCCGAATAACACCTAATATGCGATATCCAATCGACGATCAAACGATAACCAAATTGAAATCCGAGAATACCATTATACTCGGGACAACACAAGAATCATTTTAGGACACAATGACAGGCCAAAACAGTGCCCACGCGCCACCTCATGCGCCGGCAGCGCATGGGTGTCCAAAGAAATTTCCGGCGATCGGAAAAACTCCATACCGCCGGCTAAGACTTCCAGTATAGGTTAAGCACATGGAGTGGAGCAACTTTTGTTCTTGTACCTACCCAAAAAGTCGACGAAAGTGGCCGGAATCGGGGGCCGAAACGGGCCAAAACTTTCATCGCTTGGAAACGTTTCAAAACTCGGAAATTTCTCCTAAATACCACAACCAGCAGTTAGAACTCATTGAAAGGATAGAAAAGCATACCAAGTTCGAAGAAAATGGTGGTCCGAGGCGTCCGAACGAGCTCCCGAAAAATTACGTAAAATTCGGCTGTTTTTTGACGTTTTCCGGCGGTACCAGCGACGGATCGAGGCGGCATAGGGCTGGAACTTGTAGAGGATGAAGAGCTGGTTCTTTTGGGACCGGTACCGCCAAAAATGGCGGCCGGACTTGGCGGTGGTGGGGTGAAAACCGGTCGGCAGTTTTGAGAGGGAGGGGGGGCTGTTCGCGACGGGGAGAGAGAGAGAGAAAGAAAGGGAGTTTTCAGATTTTTAATAACCAACTTCAAAATAATTACGATTGTGCTACTGAGTTTATTTTGCTCATAACTTCTTCGTTACAATCCCGATTCGAGCTCACTATGTATCTACGGACTCATCTCAGTACGATCTATGTAAAATTACCACTCGCTGCCCCAAAATTCTTCCGAATCAAAAATTGACAAAATTACCCCTACTCTAAAGGCAAAATTGGAAATTCATATTATTTTTTTAGCAATTAATTAAATTCACAAATTCTTTAATTTTGGGTTGGGATGTTACAAAATTAATATTGTCTAAGCATTTATCGTATACATATATGAAAGCAATTAAATGACAAGTGCTTAATGAAACAGTTAAAACAACTTTTGCAACCCCTTTTTTTGGTTTTAACTTGACAGCAAAAGGAATATAAGAGTTCTTGCTCACTATATTTAGCTAGTTTGAAATATAAGTCACAGAGCAAAGAGGGATTGGAGATTTCTCTATCTAGTCGGATAAATACATGAATTCAAATTTATTGTTTTAAAAGAAAATCACACCATGAAGATGGCAGAGCAACAAAAGATAAACGCAGGAGTGGTCAACTGGTTATCTGGAAATTAGACAAGTTGGTTTTAAAAGATCTTGAGTTCTTCAAGTGTTTTTCAAGACGTTGCGTTAGAGAGAGAGTACTCTTCTTCTGTGGCGGAGGCTCTTTATTCATAGGCAAGGAGAGAGCTTCGATGATGAAGGCTAAAAAAAGGTTGCCTGGCTGCTATTTCCAGATTCACCTGCTGATTCACTATCTTGGATTGTTTCATAGGAGGCATGATGGGACGTTTCTGATAGGATCGCTGGGTTTTTGTGCTAATCCCTTGTCCTGAGTCCGGAAGTTTGGTTGGCAATTCAATTCTTTCTAGTTCTAGTGGCTTTTGTACAGCTCGTTTCCTTGCTAGGCGAGAAGAGAGTCAAGTCGTCATTAATTGTGATAATCTTCTTCAGACCCTCATGTAAGTCAATGTGTAACAGTTACAAATCCTTTTTAACTTTAGTGTGACTTAAAGTTTTGGGCCTATTGTCTTTGTGGGATTTTATCAATCTCTTTTTACTATTGATGGCCCTCTAAGCAAAAGTGATCCTTACTTTCTAAAAGCAGTAAAAAGGTTGATGGGCATGGGCCTTTAAAATATTATTTTGAGAAGTAAACCATTTTTGGTCCATTTACCAAAATTGAGTACAAACAATTAGCAACTGCCTTTAGAAGGGCCTCTTCACTATTTGCAGGCACATCTTCAAAGCCGGTTATCTTGGCCTCATGGATGGCTTCTTTGCTGGTGTTGCAAGTACCATCAACACCGGTGTAGGGGTAATTAGTCTCGGTACTAAGTCCATGATCTTGATTGATGAACTTAAAGGCATCATCCATCAAGCCACCCTCACAACCTTGGTCTACACCCTTGGTGTACATGTCACAATCAACTAGCTCTTGCTTAGACAAAGAGAATAATTTACCAGTTGTAAGACTATCTCCAACTATAAATGGGCTAAACCCAAATTGCTCGTATTTCCCATACGTTGATGCATCTTGGAGACTCCACGAAGTGGCTTGACAAGACAAAGCTCCCAACCTGAAAATTAAGGCCAAACAAGTACAGTTGGAGTGGTACTGGTTAATTTACTCCATGGTAACTAGCTAGAAAAGGAAGCAGTCGGGATTTGATGAGGTAAATGAGTTCAAGAGCCGTTATACCGAAATGGTTAGACTGCTTCGTGGTTTATATAGAGCAAAGCAAAGAATGGCCTTGCTATCTCCGTTCCCCAAAAATTGGTCTGCAGTCTTCGTGCCCCATAATATGTTGTGATACAAACCTCTAAGGTTAGCTTAATTATATGATTATGATTCTAATTTCATTTCAAGTCGCGTTAAATTACTGGCAAAACATGTCTTTATTAATGTGCATGCAGCATACTGGTTGGTTGATATATGGGGCCTACTACGTGCACATGGATGGACCTGTAAGTTATTTTTTTCTTTTTCTTTTTTAAATTTTCTTTATTTGTTAATTTTCTCTGGTATCTTATCTTGTAAAATGACAAATTTGCCCTTATATTTGACGACTAATTGGGTGGAGTTAAAAAATCTTGATGGTATATGACCAAAACTTGACGGTACGTCTAAATTGGTTATTTTTATCTTAGTTTAATTAAACTCTAAATAGGCCGAAGAAATAATTTGGGGAATTAACTTCAAACCAGCATTATAATTCAAGGGTAAAACGACACCTTAACCTTTTCCTATGTACTGGTCATAAAATGAGTGGCTGAGTTAGAGACGTCGTACACACGTGATATTTGCAGCTCCCTTTTTCTGATGACTAGTAATAGTATGCATGAAAGGCAGCAATCTTGCATTATTAGAGTGCTCTGTGTACGTACAAGCTTTAAATAAGAGACTTTTATGTACCACACGTTTCAACCGAACTAATCTGTTAGCCTTTTATAGGAGAAGACTCGAGACCTAATGGAAGCCAAATGAAGCTGGCCCTGAGTGAAGGAAGCAACTAGGGTAGCGAGAGCTGGTGTCTCCAATTCATTTTCTCAATTTCATGGAATTAAAAACAAGAGAGTTTGGGTGGTCATTATGGAAATATTGTGTCACAAGTGAAGTGCTATTTCTTAGGGCTGATGAGGTGTTATCGGTTAGCTCAAGAGAAATGACAGGGAATGCATGGAGTCTTGGCTTGAGTTCGTGACCGTGGGAGGCTTTTATCTGGCCATGGAAATCAAAGAGGGAATAGGGTGATGAGGAGGCTTGAATGGTGTGTTGTGATGCTTTTACTTCGAGAAAGAGAGAACGTTTGCCGAAGAGAGGAAGAAGGAAAGAAGAGAAATTGGTTAGAGTGCAAAGAAAAAGCTCATGGAAAGTAAGGTTAAACTCCGAATTTTTGGTGGATAACACTTTATTTACTATATGCATATGTAATTAAATTACAGTTTGACACATGTGTAATTTTTTTATTTATTTTATAAAGATCATTTGCACTTAGCATGGGCCTCTTCAATATAAGAATACTTTGACATTCCTCAAATTGGTTTATCATTTTCATAAAACACATATTTTACAGTTTTTCTTTAATAAATCACCATCAGTATTCATTTACAGGTGTTGGAGCTACGTGAGTACTCTTTTACTTGTCATCTCCTGGTTGATGTACCAAATTAGCTTATCATGATTAGAGTTTATGCCGATTAACTAGCTTAATTAAGACCCAAGGCAAGTGGTATATTATATAAAAATACGTATTTTGTGACAAATGAAATTCAATAATTAAATTAAGATTTTAAATAAGAAAAAATGGGTTTATAATTACTAATGGGTCCTCAATTATTTGAACTTTTCAGAGTTGGGAATAGTAATACCATTCTCGTCTCCGCTCCCATTCCTACCCTTTTCCCTTTAAGAATCTTTGGTCGGCAGGCAGAAAGAAGATAAAGCAAGCTCACTTTGCATCAATTTGCTGGCAGGTGCAAATGTCCATGGACCATGAGGCAGCTGCTCCGAGCTGGGGCCTGGGCGTTCAGAGAAGCCCAAGTTTATGTTCCTTCGTTTCGAAGAAAACACAATGCTAGATTTTTTGGGGTCAAATTGGTGGCCTTTGAAAAACTGAAGTGACGATTGCGGTAATATTTTGAAAATCACTGGAAAATATAAAGATCACATAGTTTCTATGATGAGCATGAATGAAAATAATAGTTTTATTTAACAATAAAATAGGTAAAATTCTTTTGAATCTTATCTACATTTTGTACGGATATGAATTAGGAAATGAACAATAAAATAGCTAAAATGTAACCCTAAACTTCGTTTTGTTTTAGTTTGGTTTGATTTTATTTTTTGGGGTCAAATTTTGTTATAATTGCAAGTTTTGATATTTCTTTATTGGATGTAAGGAAAAGGAAAATGCATATTATACGCTGTCATAATTTTTTTTTTTTTTCTTCTTTTCTCTTGGGTTGAGTGGCAGGCATTTTTTTGGGAATTTGCTTGGAAAGTTGTCTCATATCTTATAGCTCGTCAGTCTTCCAAAAGAGACTGGTAGTTAGACTGGTCAATTAAGATAGTTGAAATAATTTTACTATCACAAAAAGAAACAAAAGTTTTGCCATCACTTTCCTCAATTAAGAGACTGTTAGCTAGAGGTCATAATCCATTTTTTTGCTAATCATTTTCCTCAACAACACAACCGCGTTTTTTTTCCCTAAACTGAAAAGAGACAAAAGTTTTTACTCATTTTATACACAAAAGACAAAAAAGGAAAAAGAAAACAACGTGTGTAATCGCCACCTTAAAAAACGACCAAAAAAGAAACATCGTCTAAGGAAACAAAATCCATAGCTAACAAAGATCAGCTGAGAGATTGGGATGAGCTTGAAGGCACACATGGCGACTTGAAAAACTGAAAAGAAAACTGCTATTATAATTTCTCTTTCTGATAGATTACAGAACGACGGAGATGAACAGCTTCTCGCAAGAAAACAATGACTTGGAGGCCGGAACTAGGGATATTGCCGCTCAGAGCATCAGCCGTTGGAGGGTATTTTCCCCATTGATATCGTTATATCACTTTATATTAAAAACTATTTTGTTAGTAATTGATTGCTTCAAATTATGCTTTGTCTCACCAAATATGGCTGTATATGTATATGTCTCTCCCAATATGTCTATCTGTTTGTCACCTTGGTCGGGTAGTTTAGGGTTTGCTCGAAAAGGACTCGTTCATTTCATTTCTTTATTTGCTTTTTCTATTGAAAACCTTCACTTGATACATCAGCACAGCATGCAATATGCAATTTTCCTACCTATATTATTATATATATGACAGTAATGCATTTAGGTTTTCTTTATTTTGGTTGGCTAATATATCCATTTATAATCGGAAAGTAATCTCCTTGAGTAATCTCCCATGGATGCTTAGTTTACTCATTGTTAATCGATAAATTTTTGTATGTTCCGGGTACACTACCATCTAATATACATAGGATATGTGGAAATATTCTTTATTTAATGAGCTTTATCTAAACAAATTTTATGTTTCACTGTAGCGAGCAGCAGTTGTGCTATTTGCTTCTCGTCGATTTTTGCAAATCGTATACTTGAAAAAGGAAGGAGAAAAAGAGCAGGCTTCAAGCAAAGTCCATGCACATGCTGCTGTACAAGTAATTGTTGTGAAATTAATGTGTCTTAACATGTTCTTGTTGTCTTCTATTGACGTATTATATTTTCTTCTTCTTTTTGCTTATTAGGCTGAACTCGCTTTCGAAATAGAGCCTGGAGAAGAAGTGATAGGTAGTACTTCATTTCAAATATCCTTGCTTTTCATTTGTCATAACTTCTTTTTGCATGTAGCTCGATATGTTTCACTCACTATTTCTTTCTGTGTGTCACATATGTTCTTTTTGTGCGTATAGCTTGGTGCTTCAATCATTTCACGAATCAATTCTTTTTGTTTATATATTTTGTCTAATTTATCTATATGCCATGCAGATTAATTATAACCGAAATCCAAAAGAATAATGCTAGCTTGGCTCCTTGAATCTAATTAGATGTCATTCAAGCCAATCATAATTTGGCACATGTACACGAGTGTGATTGCTTATTAAGAATGAAATGAACACGTATGCCTAATTATGATTGACTTGTAAGAAGAAATAGGTGCTGAAAGTAAGTGTCTTCTTTATGTCCGGTATCTAATTTCTTCATATTAAACCACATAATGACAAGTGGCTTTGGTACACTATCAACCACTAAGATCACCGAGTACTACTGGTGATTTTGGAACGAAGAATTCTATACTTAGCTATTAATTTGTGCAACTAACTTTGTTTCTTTGGTTTGTTAGGGACTTCACTGAGACCAACCAGTACTACTGGTGATTTTGGAATTGGACGAGAGGAACTTGATGCCTTAACTAAGAATGATGATGTTGGTAGCCTGGAACAATATGGGGGGGCAAGTCCAACACATAACATCATCTTTTATCTTATGGTTGTATATAAACTCTCACTAATTATATACTTTTTTGACATCAGATCGAAAAGTTAGAAAGCGAATTGAAAACGAATTTAAAGGACGGGATTAACGGGGAAGATGCTGATGTGCTGAAACGGAAACGTGATTTCGGAGCAAACACACATACTCCGGAAAAATCAACGAGCTTCTTGGTTAGTGTCGTTACAATTGTGAAATTTGAAAGAAGGATGGATTTAATTAATACACCTTTAATTAAGTGCTCTTACAGTTTATATTTTACCACATCAACTTTGTTTGTCTTGTAGACGTGTCTTTGGGAAGCATGTCATCAAGATATTTCTCTGATCATTTTCATAGTAGTTGCAGTGGCTTGTTCAGTGATGGGTCTAGCGACAAAGGTGAGCCTCGATCGGCCGTACTTCCAAGTATTTTCATGACAGTAGGATGTTAGTATAAAGAAAATTAGCAATTACACAGAGGATCCTAAACCCTAGAGAATCCCCGGATACTCTTGTTTATGTAAAAAGTAAAAACGAAGGAAAATTACAAAACCAAAAAAAGAAGAAAATTACAAAACCAAATACATGAATGACCTCTTGATAAATATGATATAGAGTATAATTGGAGAGTTGAGAGAGAATTGCAATTGGCTGTACGTATATCTTTCTTTTGTTTACTAGAACATAATTGGTTCGAGTAGAACTAGATCCCTTCTTGTCAACTTCCAATCAAAGTATCAAAACCTGAAAAAATAGGTAGAAATCTGATGAACCACTAAAAGAATATTAAAGTAATTTGCTAAATTTCAATATCATATTGATTTTAAAGAGGAGCTTCTCCTCAATTTTCAGCAACCTAACTTTTTCCCCATTAGAATGAATTGTCAACAATAGCCAAAATTTGGAGTGAATGCAAATTGATCAATTGGGTAATCTCAGGGTTTTTAATTATATTTTAGTTGTTTTGACAACAGTAATTTATTTATGAGGTTCTGTGTTGTGTTACTTGCAGGGTACAAGGTTTGGATATTGGGAAGAGGGAGGTAACGTTGCCACTGTGGTTATGGTGAACATTATTTTTAAAGGTATTTAATCTGGTGTGATGTGATACAAAATAGGAATGTGTTTCCATTTAACCAAATAGAAAAAACAATAGGAAGCCGATTTTCCCACTTAAATAGAATAGGAAATTCTGCACATCTATTTAAGGAAATTCTGCACATCTATTCTAATAGAGCAAAAAGTGATGTGCAGCTCGTATGCACATATAAAGCAAACTCTTGAGGTTGAATTTTCAAATAACTTAAAATAGCTCTCATTTAACAAAAAATTCGAAAACAAAAGCGAAGATTTTGAATAAATGAAAAGAAAAATTGTATATGTGGGAACATATGGATAAAGTCTAATTATTTATGGATTTTGTTGTTTGCATCTCTCTCTCTCTCTCTCTCTCTCTCTCTTTTTTTCTTTTTTTTTCTTTTGGGCTTTTTTGGGTCTGCAGCAACTTGCAAATACAGCCTATCTCTGATCCACAATGTAAAGGAGGAAGGGAGGATTATGCATTTGAAGGTATAAATACAGTATAAATATATCTAGTTGGACCTTTAAATATAAGGAGTTATCCTATCCAATCCAATCTTAGTCACCAAATGTGCCCTAACTGTGTACACATTTGGATCTCGTACCTAATTATGCAGGTTGTTAGAGGTGGTAAACAATTTGAGGTTTCAATATGTGATATTGTTGTTGGCGATGTTATTCCCCTTAACATTGGTGACCAGGTATGTGGCAATGTTGCTGTCTCCATTCACAAGTCCATATTTTTCATATCTGCAAAATATATTAATTATGTTGCCTTGATTGTATATCCACAGGTCCCTGCTTATGGTATTTTAATCACTGCTCGATCACTCTCCATAGATACCTCACGTGTGAATGGAGCCAACAACATTGTAAGCCTTCATGCTTCTTCGGGAGCCTCTCGTTTAAAGCCTGGCTGGAAAATAGCGGATGGGAGTGGTACCATGCTGGTAAAGTTTATATATATATACACACACATACACACACATAAGTGTTGGTATATTCTTTTTGTTCTTTTTAATCTCCTATATAAATAAGGGCCTTTTATAACAAATGGTCTCTATTCTTATAAATTCTGTTATGTATCGTGAAAGATAAATAGAGCCCACATATCCAATCACATCATGACATTTCAATTAAATACATAAGTATATATATATATATATATATATATTTAAAAAAAATTCCATTAAAAAAACATTTAAAATCCATTATTTTTTTATGCAACTTCCCACCCCGCCCTCTCTCCCTTTGTTATCTCTCTCCCTCTCTCCTCCATGTGCTCTCCCTCTCACTCTGTTTTTTTTTTCTGGCCTATAGCCCGACAACCCCATCCCCACCCACAACCAACGTCCAACCAGTCCCTCTCCCTCTGTATATTTTACAAAATAATCACTTGTATAAGGGCAGTTCCACATTTTCTTTCACACAAACATTTATTCGAACAACTTAAAAAAAAAAAAAAAACATAGGTAAAGAGGGAGATCACAAGGGAAAAGTAGAGAAGGAGAGAAAATATAGAGGGAAAGGGTGGGGATGGGTGTGGGTTTCGGGTGGGGATGGGGGTGGTCAGGTTGTGGGCAAGAAAACAAGAGAGAGAGAGAGCAAGGGGAGAGCAGAAGGGGAAGAGGGTGGAGAGAGGGCAGAGGAGAGACAAAATAGAGAGAGGGGATGGGAAGTTGTAGAAAAATAGTATTTTCATTAAAAAAAAATATTTATTAGGACCATTCGTGATAATTTTATAAACCTCATGGACCATTTGTGATAAAAATCCATAAATAAATAAAGAAAATCAGAAAAAGGAATGAAACTTTCATTATATATTGTTCTTTCAGGTAACGAGTGTTGGGATATGTACTAAATCGGAACTTTCACAAGACATTGGTAACAAAACAACATTGGAGGTCAGCCCGTCAACTACTACATAGAGAATGACAATTTAATTTCCTATATATATGTGTGTGTATATATATAATATCTTAAGGATACATAACTGAATCTTAATAGGAGGTCTTGAACGTGGTTGCTACTTCCATTGGTAATGTTGGACTCGCAGTAGCTTTTATTGCCGTGATGGTCGTATTACTCAGGTAATTATTCAAAGAATCTTCACTAGTGAGGACTACATTCTTACCATCACAAGGATCAATAATATTAAATCACTTTATTATCACAATAACATTTGTGCAGGTGGTTTACTGGCCATAACTTAGAGGGAAGTCCCAAGTTCATCGGGGTCAAGACTAAACCTCGAGACGTCATAGAAGAAGTCAATCAAATTATAATAATTGCTGTATGTCTATGCCTCCTCCTCCTTGGTTATTTAGCTAATTGAATACTTTCGATTTTACTCACATTCGGATTTTACAGATTACTATTGCAGTGGTTGCTGTACCTCAAGGGCTTCCCTTAGCTGTTACCTTAACGTAAATCTGCCCAACGTTAACATTTAGCTGTTCCCTTAGTTTTTGTCATATGCATTCATCTTTCTGGATTTCACATAATTTCTTTTTTGCCTTAATTTCCTTCTCTTTGACTGGCACAGCATTGTCAGCGCAACAAAAAGAATGGTGGCAGATAATAACGCCTTTGTATGTGAAATTGCTTACAGGAACGAGGTTTTAGTAATTCTTTTCACTTGAACTGAAATTGTTTTAATTTTATTGTTAATTGAAAATAGTTAATGCTGATCATTATATAACTTCGTGATTGGTTTAATGGATGCAGGCTTCTAAATGGAGGCGATTTGTACATGCAAATATTATCACGTTTATGCAGTTGCAGCTTACAGTCAATGTTGTAGCACTAACTACCAATTTCACGGTGGCAGTTTTCGATGGTCACGTCCCATTAAATGCTGTTCAGGTAATGCTAGAAGAATTGCAGTCGTGATTTAGGATTAGAGGATTAGACTGTTCAATTTTTAAGTCTTTAGGTGAGGATGCACCTAATTAAGGATTCTTTTCTGCTTGTGCTTTGTACAGCTTCTCTGGGTGAATCTACTCATTGTACCACAATCATTGGTTACTAAACCCCCAGTAGATGAACTGATGCCAGGACTCCTTATCGAACCCGGGTAACATTTCTTTGATGATGGACATATCTGATTAATTTATCAATACCTAACCATGAAATTTTCATGATCCATGTTGATGACCTTCACTTTCTGCTGACATAGTTATGTCCTGTTAGTTCTTATTTTGATCAAGATGCTTACTTCAAGTAGGCCCATATCTCTTGAATTTTGAGTTTGCTAGCTAGTTAAACCAAATTGTTGGCCGGCATAATTTGATGTTCTAATGGGACAATGTTTTACAGACAACCTCTTAAAAGATATATAAAGTGGAAGAGACTGGTTTTTCAGGTACATGGATGTTTTCTCTTGATTTCATGTTACCCAAAAGTATTATTAGATCAATCCATGTAGTTTTCTTACATATATTTTTCGCATTCCAGTTGTCTTCCTCATAATTTGTCATTCTAAATTTGGTTTGGAAATTTCAGGGCGTGTACCAAATTGTTGCCATTCTTATCATCAATTTTCAAGGACGGAGTTTACTGAAAAGTTATACCCGCGGTCATGCCATCAAAGTGAAGAACACAATGATATTTAACACATTTGTTGTTTGTCAAGTAAGTTCTTAACTCGTCAATGATAAGAAAGTAGTTTAACTAGGATCCCAGCAATATGAGATATTAATTAGCTTCCCTGTTTTGTCTAGCGTGTGAAATGACAACGTTGATATGGCTGTTTCAATTGAAAAGTTAGTTTTAGTCTAAAGTTAGAGCATGATTTTTCATTAATTAGCGCACTTTGAAACGTACCTAGCTATTAGTGTAGTCCTCCTACTTCTCTCCTACTTCTCTTCCCAATCCTGGAATAAGTACAAAGTTCGAATCGTGTCTCTATAAAGAGAAGAAAAGAGCCATAGCCCTTCATGTGCCCTTCCAGATTGGATGAGATTTTGTTACATTATGATTTCAATGATTCAGAATTTTTCAAATCACAGGTTATACATCAATTGGAAGCTCGAAAGAAGGGTATACTATCGAACCCAAAGAAGTGGATTACTTCAAACTATCTCTTTATGGGAATAGCGGGAACAATTCTCTTAAGTCAGGTTAGAAATATTTAGTGTGTTTTCTTCTTTTCTTGTTTGTTTTTGTTTTTCCTTTCTGGTGGCTTGTTGTCTTGACGAATTTTGCATTTGATGACACTTAGTTTTCTATGTTCTTCAGTTTATCATTATTGAGTTTCTAGGGAAAGCGTTCTCCACAGTGGCGCTTAACCAGAAAGAGTGGCAGTTTTCCCTCACTCTTGGTTTTTTCGAGTAAGTTCTATGATTTTGGCATGTAGTAGAACAAGTTGAACATTCGTATTTATAATTTTGTGTTGGTCGTTGACAACATTCTCTATCTCTTGCAGAATGCTTTTTGCAATAATTTTATTCCTAAAGTACTTGACACACAGGAACTAGCAAAGCAGTTCAACTCATACAGCATGTGATGAACTAGCAAAGCAGTTCAACTCATAGTTTGAATGATTTTCAAGTGGTGGAAGCATTACGACTATACATTGTGTGTGACACCATGTGATAATGATTACTCCATAGTTTGAGTCATTCTTATGTGATTCCCCATAGTTAGAGCAAAAAGTGTAACATGAGTTTAGTTGAGAGGCTATTTTTGTAAGCTATTGACTGGAAAACCTTGTTTTCGTAAATTGTTTAGTTCTAATAATGATAATGAACAGCTAGATTTTAGAGACTGGAATATACCTAAAGTACCTGATAAAAATATATAGAGGAAAAAATGGTCACTGAGTACATTTAATACAACTACACATGTAAAGACAGTAGAACAAGTATATGCTTTAAGTAAAGAACATGAGTCTTGTCAATTACTCAATCTAGATACCATTAAAAAACATAAGCATGATGGAAATAATTTCTTGCATATCGGTCTTGTTCAAGTTGCTGCTAAACCATTAACTAGATTAGGATTACAAGCTTCTATTTTACTTTGCTTACGTGATGCTAGATTTACTGTATTTAATGATTCTGTGCTTGGTATGATTGAGTCAAGTCTTTGTAATGGTCCAGTACATTTTGATTGCTATCCTAATTTTACAATAAGTTTAAATGATCCTCATATTCTTAAAACTTTAACTCTAAATATTAAGACTTCCGGTTATAATGTTTTACCAGGTACCCAACCTATAGCTTTGATTTACAGAATATATTATAAAGTTACAGGTACAAATATGAATTTTCAAGCCTTGAATAAGAGTCCTAGAGATCACACATTATTAATACAAAGTCGTACACCCGATGCTAATATAAGTATCCCTCATACAATCAAATGGTCTGAAATTAATTTGCCTAGAGATTGGACTTTAGTTACCGAGTCTCAACCTGCACCTATACAGCGTAGTTTAAATAACTTAGATTACATACAGCAATATTTAGATGGCACTGTTAAAATTAATTTTGGTAATCAACCTAAGTCTAATGTTCATTTACAGTAATTACCTACACCTAGTCCATCTAAGAGGCATGAACCTGCTAGAAATTCATCTGCTTCTTCCTCAATACAAGAAAGAGATTTAGAAATGGAAAGAGCCTTAATTGATTTGAAATTAGAATCCTTAAGAAAAAAGGCCCAAGTAAGTCATCCCTGTTATACTCCACCTACACATGAGTCCAAACCTGAGTCTCCTCCTACATCGCCTACTCAATCTGATTTTTTAGCCAGTGAAATAGCTGCAGCCCATATGTATTATATAGATAAACAATTAAGTGTCCTAAAAAGAATTGAGCCGTTTAAAATTAATTGGAAAGCTCTAGATAAACATTTGCATGACCCTGCTAATAAATCTAGAAGAGAGGTATACCACCAAATTATTCCTGATGCAAATATAAGACAAACAATATTCACTGAATGGAAAACTTATATGCGATCTGAGAAAAAAGAGATGTTTTATCTTGATTTTGTAGAAAGCCGGTATTGCCCTACTGAATTAAAAACAATAACTAAAGAAAAATGGGTCAAGTTAGACCAATCTGAAGTCATATCTAGTCATCCTCCTGTAGAAACTATTATGTTTAAACATGGATCCAGAACTGTTGTTGCAAGCCCTTTTAAAATAGCAGACCAATCTGATGAGCCTAATAAGCGTATCATTGAACAAAATAATTATACAAATCAAAGCCTGATTACCATAGGAAAACAATTAGACAAAATAGAAACTAAAATAGATAAGTCTTTACCTGCTGAATCTAAACTTAAGTCTACAGACAAACCCTTAGTTCAATTTCCAGATTTACAGCCTAAGTCTGCTCTTAAGACATCCTCTACAATAGAAAAGATAGAAGAAATGCTTAAGAACTTAACCACTGCCAAACCTGAGAAATCTGGCCTTAAAGTTATAGGAACAGCCATCCCCTTAGATACCCAGTCAGAAACTGAATCCGAGTTAAATACAGAATCTATAGACACAAGCAATATTTCAAAACTAGAAAATGCATTTAAAAATCTAGAATTAGAATCTGAATTAAAAGTACAGAAATTAACTAATCCTGTTAGCCTAACTAAAAATTGGTATCCTAAGCCTACACCACCTGATATCCAATTTGAAGAAAGAAATAATCTGAGTCAATTTTCTGTCTCTCCTGATAAATTATATGAATGGAATATAGATGGTTTATCTGAGCAAGAAATTATGAATAAATTAACTCATATGTCTATGGTTGCCAATAGTTACAGTACTAATCACAATTTAAGACAATATGAGATAATTCCTTTGTTAGAAACTGGTTTTACAGGAACCCTAAGATCATGGTGGGATAAGCATTTAACTGATGAATCTCGTAATAGTATTAAACATGCAGTAAAATTAGATACAGAAGGTCTTCCCTTGTTTGATGAAAATATAGGTCAAGGTATAGAAGATGGTGTTAATAGTCTGCGAAATATGAGCTAGGCAATTTTTGTGAACAATATGGTCTATTTACTCCTCCCTCTAGAAAAAACAAATATAAGTCTCCTAGTCACCTTCGTAAAAAACGTCATTATAAACGCAAGAATCATTCTTATCAGTCTAATGATGAATTCTACAAGAAAAAGTCTCGCTTTAAGAAAAGATGGTAAAATAAGCCTAAAGGAAAGAACTTTAAGAAAAACTTTAAGAAAAGAACCGACATGAGTAAGGTAAAATGTTATAAGTGTCAGAAATTTGGACACTATGCTAATAAGTGTAAAGTTAAAGATACTATCAAGCAATTACAGATCACGGATGCAGATAAAGATAAATTAATTAAAGTTCTTGAGTTAAGAGATTCCGAGTCAGGTGATCTAACCATGGTAAGTGATTCTGAGTCATCCAACTATGAGTCTTCTGATTCCTACCTGAGTTCACCTAATATTCAAATAGGGTGTAAAGATAAGTGTTGTAATACTCTTAAGTCTGTTTCTGTTTTAACTAAGCAAGAAGAGCAAGAAGAATTGTTAATTGATCTGATTAGTAAAATAGAACACCCTGAGTTAAAATCTGAATATCTAAAGAAATTTAGAAAAATTATAGCTCATACAGATACAGCTCAACCCTCTTCCTCTGCCATAAGTCTAAATACTACCTTAGAAAGGTTTCATAGGAAAAAAGAGGTCTCTTTGCATGACTTACATTCTGAAGTAAAAACTGTAAAAAAGGAAATAATTGAATTAAAACAATTAAGTTATAAATTACAGGCTGAGAATTATGACATCCGACATAGTTTAAATTCATTACTAGAAAAAGAGTTGTCTAAAACTGATAGTCAACCAAGTAGTCCTACCCATTCTGAAGGAAATGAGGAATCTGGTCAAGCCGTTAATTTAATCAATCATGTCTCTTTTAGAAAATGGTACTCTAAGGTCAATATAATTATTAAGGATTTTGAATTAGAAACTATTGCTTTGTTTGATTCTGGTGCTGATCTTAATTGCATAAAAGAGGGATTAGTTCCCACTAAATATTATATAAAATCTGCAGAATCCCTTAGTACAGCGTCTGGAAAAATGCTACACTTAAATTATGAAATCCCTAAAGCCCATGTTTGACAGAACAAGATCTGCTTTAAAACTTCATTTGTTTTAATTAAAAACATAACTAATAGAGTTATTTTAGGATTACCCTTTATAAGTCTTTTATACCCTTTGCAAGTTGAATTTGATGGGGTTGTTTCAAACCCCTTAGGAGAAAAAGTTAAATTTGATTTTCTTACTCGTTCTGAATTACATGAGCTGAAAACTGCAAAGAAAAATATTAATGCTGTAACTACTTCTTTAATTCTTGATAAATCAAACCAAATTAAACATTTACAGGATGAGGTAAAATCTAAACGAATTGAGTCTCAATTAAGTACTCCTAGCATGCATG